GGCGAGAAGTGTCAGGGTGTCACCACTCTTGGGAGCACCCTCAGCCAATGGCTGTGCAAGAAGGAAGATAGAGCCCCAGGCCCCTTGACGCTGCGGAGGGATGGCTGAGATGGCCCGTGCCGCCGCTTGGCGCTCCCCAGCATAACTGAATCCCAGTGGCCTGCAGTGAGGTCCTGCTCCTCCCACACCTCCGGCTGGCTGCCAGCCCTAACTGCCCCCCGCCCCCGACCTGTGCCGTCTTCCTGTCCCACCTGCACCCTGGTCCTGGGCTTCAGGACTGCTCTGGGGGCTGGGCCCTGGCTGGTGTGGCTCAGTGGACCGAGGGCCAGCCTGCAAACCAAAGGGTCGCTGGTTCGATTCCCAGTTTAGGTCACATGCCTGGGTTGCAGGCCAGGTCCCCACTGGGGGGCGTGCAAGAGGCCACCACACGTTGATGATTCTCTCCTTCTCTTTCTCACTTTAACCCGAAACTTAACTCTAACCTGAACCCTCACCCCACCTAACTCAACACCTAACACTAACCATAAACTTCACCTTAAACCCTAATTTAAGCGTGAACCCTAACCGCAAAGCTCACTCGAACCTGATCGCTAACCCCAACACCACCAAAACATGAATCAGACAGCGGTGGTGCCGGTGGCGGCAGCCAGGAGTCGCTGAGGGCTCTCTTTGTGCCAGGAACTTAGATACCCTTTCTTGTTTGTATCTTAAAGTCTTGAAATCTTAAAACTGTTAAGAGGCAGGTACTATTATTATACCCATTTTACTGAGAGGAAAACCAAAACCCTGAGATGCCATGTCGCCTGCCGAAGGCAAAGAGCCGGCCAGCGCTGGGAGCAGGGCTTAACTCAGGTCTGTCTGATCCCAGGGCCTGTTCCCCACCCAGCATGCTATGCGGAGATGCCGCCAGCGCACTCGGCTGTTTTTAATTTGATTTTATTGTCATTATTTTTTGGTCCTAAATCTCTGCCTGACATTTTATCTTCTCTCATCAACTACCCTGGATCAAGACCTTTTGTCCTCCAGGGGAATTTGATAAAAAATATGACTCATTGTCCTCCTGGTGCAGCTGCTTCTGAAAACATTCAGGTTCCCTTGATGTGTCCCAGGCAGAGCCTGCGAGAAAATTGGGTGAGTCAGAGAACCACGTGCCTCTTCGAGATGAAACCCCAGCAGCTGGTGGTCTGGGCAGTACTTCCTCCATCAGTCAGAGGCATCTTGACTCCCACGTACAGCCCACAGCCCACGGCCTGGGGCCTGAGCTTGCTACCAGCCTGTTACTGCTCCTTAACTCCAAGGGCTTGAGCATAGTTACAGTCATGAGGATAATTTCCAGAACAAAGCTAGAGAAATATGCATGCTTAAGGGCCTCACATCCCTTTAAAGCCTTTGCTGAGGCTGGTGAGCAATTTCCAACCATCATGAGAAACGACTCTTTATGCTGCTCAGAGAACTAGACCAGCCGTGAGACCTCATCTTTGTATCTTTGTTCTCTCTCTTCCTCACCCCGGCCTTGGCCATCAGAAACAAGGCATTGTGAAAAAAGTAATTGTCCAATTTTCCCAACATGATCGATTTGCTGTAATTTTTTTAAAAGAAGGAAAAGGAGGGAGCACCGTCAAACACTCTCTCCTGTCCCCCACCCCCACCTCCGCCCCTCAGAGTCTGTGCCGGAGGACGGGCACCAGCCGGCCGTGGCCCGCGTGCCCGATGGCCCCTGGTCGGATGCCAGACGCCAGGGATGCTTTTTCTGCTGCGATGTGTGTGGGTGGCACACGGCGGCACCAGACTTCAAAGGGAGCCACGGCACCTCCCCCTCGTATAGTTCTACCCTGGCTACTTAAAAGAAGCCAAGGGGGCAGCGTTTGAAGTGACAGCCAAAAGGAAGAGGAGGAAGAAAGAGGAGGAGGAGGCAGAGGAGGCGCTGCTGTCACCTCCAGAGAGGGGCTGACATGTGCCCTTGTTCTGTGTCCTCTGCAAGGAGGTAGCGTGACTAACAAGTTAGCTCTTACCCCAGATTTTCCTCCCTTTTCGTTGCCCTTTTCACTCCCTGTTTTCCCCGGGGGAACTCCGAGAGAACTAGAAAAGGCTTTGTTTCCCTGAGGCTGAGAAAAAACGGAGAAACAGAGTGGGCCTGCCCCGCCCCCCCCCGCCCCCTGTCTGCGGCAGAGCCGGCCCCATTAATGCTCTGATCACAGCCGTGGCCTCTGGCTGAGCTGCCTGGTTTCCTCACCTAGACTCTGTCCTCAGCATAAAAGTCCAAATGTCACTTCTGTGCGCAAACCCTCCATGGCTCCCCAGTTCTCTCAGAGTAAAAGCTCAAGTCCACAACATGGCCGTCCACTCGGGACTTCCCACCACGGTGGGAAAGTTCTCTCTCTGCACCGTCTCAATACGGTAGCCACGGGCCACATGTGGCTGTTGAGCACGGGAACGTGGTTAGCGCTACGGCATTTGTTTTCGTTTTAATTCGTTCACATTTAAATAGCTACATGTGGCCTGTGGCGACCATATTGGACAGTGTAGGCCTACAAGGCCCAAGTGCGCTGGCCCCTCCTTTGGACTCTGTCCTACCTTTGACCTCTCCTCCTTTCCCCTGCCTCTCACACCCCGTTCCAGCTACTCTGACCTCGTACTGTTTGTTCCTCAAAAATGCCAGCCTCAGTCCCACTTGGGTGCTTTCTGCCACGCGTTCCTTCTGCCTGGAAGGTCCCTCCCCTGACGGCTGCGTGATTAGCATCTCCGCTCCGCCAGGCCTTCTTCTGAACTTCTCCCACGTCTGCTCCCAATCTGCGTGCCTTACTCTCCTTTTTCTTTTTCATATTACCTCTCACCTGCTAGCAAGTGACATTATTCACTTACTTATCAGGTCTGTTGTTTTATGTCCATTCTCTGAAATGCCAGCTCGTCCAGGGGGGCCACTGCTGAGTCACCAGCACCTTGAAGGGAGGCGTTCAATAACTGTCTGTGAGAAGGACTCGCCGGTGAAGGCTGGCCCCGTCCTGGCGGCGCCCCAGGTCCTCTTGGGCGCGCTGATGTTTGTGGCTTCCTCCTGGAACGTGCGGCTTCCCCAACTCCCTCCATTCATCAGCTAATCGAAGAGAGCCTGCTCTTTGCCAGCATGGTGTTAGTTGCTAGGGACACAGCAGTGACCAGAGCAGGCAACAGTCTCTGCCCTCAGGGAGGTGACATCCACGTCAGAACATAGACGCTGAGCAGCAGATGGAAAAAGCAGAGGTGCCATCAGCATTCAGAAGAAGCGAGGGTCAGGAAGGAGAGACAGGAAGGCGGTGTGGGGCGAATGTCGAGCGCGGAGGCCTGTCTGAAGGAGGAGAAGGGCCCAGCTCAGTGGAAACCAGGAGAGTGTCCCATGAGGGGGGAAAAACAAAATGAATGGGAACAGCAAATGCTGAGGGCCCTGCGGTGAGAGGGTCCGGGGCGCCCAGCAGGCGGGGATGTGACACGCAGGGTGCCGGGGTGAGGGAAGGCTGCCCAGCGGGGGCGGGCCCCGGGCCAGCCCGAGGCTCGGTTCTTCAGTTTCTTCTCCCATCGCCGAAGCTGCTTCCGTCTTCTTCCTCGCTGAGTGCTTAGAACATTCATGTCCTAAATCATCTTTTTAACGGCACTCTTGCAAGTGAGATTTTACACAAAGCCTCCAAATAACAGGTAGGGGTGGAGCTGTTCTGGTGGCAGGTTGGAGGCCACACTTTTCCCGCCACTTCTTGCGTCCACTGAAGGCCCCTGGGGGACCTTAGTGAACCCCAAAGATTCCAGGAGGTTTAATTAGAAGCCCCCTGGCCTGTGACATGCACGCTACGCGGGAGCTCAGCTCGGCCTCCTCTGGTCTGCGTCTGTGTGGGAGTCTTATTGCCGCCTGCAGATGGTCACCTCCTTCCGGGTGGACAGATGTCCCCTCTGACATCCCCTGACAGGACCTCTTGAAGTTGTGGAGTGTTCTGGAGAGCTTGGTACATACTATTACCCACTTTCAAATGACAGTCGTCAGCTTCCCCACTCCTGTCCAGACCCCTAGGGAACCTTCTCAGACTTTCGTTCGTCTAAGACTTTCCTGAAGAGCATGTTTTTAAAAGATGCGGATTCCATAATTGGAGGGGATGCTTAGAAATCTGCCACTTTATCAAGCATCCCAGGCGATTTTCATGCAAGGAGTCCATGGACCACTGTGCACAACAAGCAAGTAGTCCATCCCTTGAAATAGTCTAGATTTGAGCTCCACTTCAAGTCAGCTAATTAGTGTCATGCTATTTGTTGAGTTATATTCCAAAAGCAAGACAGACTCGGTACAGTTCAAGGGTTGGGGTGGGAAGTTGACTTTTCACTTAAAAATACTCCGTGACACTGTCTAAACTCCTGGCTCGTTTGACAAGCCTGTGGAGAAGTGCACAGTAATGCCGTCCCCTGAAGGAGAGCTAAACTTAGCATGAGGGGGGTGTCCTCTGTGAGGGGGTCTTCCCCGCCCAACCCCTGCTGTAAATTACCAGCACGAGGACTCCAGTCCCCCGTGGCTGTGATAGGGGATGCAGAGCTCTCTGCTGACAGCCCTGATCGGTGTGTCAAAGAGAAATTCTCTCCGTGGGCAGGAAGGATCGGGCGTGCTCTGCTCTGTTCTTGCTTCACACACTGGCTTCTCAATTCCTAGTCATGTTGTCTGTCTGCGGTATTCAGACAGCTCCCAGGCGGAAGCCCCATCCTACAAAATCGAGAATCTCCAATGCCCGATTCAGCACGTGGCACTGACCAGGAGCCCAAGGAGATTTTATGGATGACTAATTTAGTCATCCTCAGAACTGGCTACATCACTGGCATGGCCCAATGTGCAAAGTGACACTGTAGGTTCAAGCATTATTAAGAATTTCAAGACAGCCACAGCGGAGCATGAAACCAAGCTCAGGGATCTCCTGTGTGTGGGGACGGTGGGTCTACATAGATCACACATTCGTGAAGCTGGCCCTAGACACCATTTTCTTGTTTTTTTTTTCAGCCGCCCGATTACCAGATCTGTGGGCATCTCTCAGTGGCCACAGTATAAGCCAGTCCTTTGAGACTCTCGACCCTGATACCATGAACATGCCCTGCCCCTATCCTCTCATGCCAGTTACCCCAGTTTCTTCCTGGCAACCAGGAAGAATCATGTCTGTGAAAGAGGTAGTTGAAAAGCAGGAAGAATTTCTTGTTGGTCTGCCTTTACAGTGAGCACACAGAACTCTGTATTGCCCACCAAGCTTAGAGACCTTGGTCTGTGACTCTCCAGAGTCCCCTACACTGATAAAGATAGGGGTCCCAGGTCTACCACTCTAACAGCATAAAAGCCATTCATTGCCTTGGAGGCAAAGAGTAGCTCAAACAACCCTCCTCTTGCCTGCCACGGGCTCAGCACACAACCACTGCCCCAGCCCCCAGCCGCCTGGCGCCCACTAAGCCACCGGGTGGTCATGGCCTGTTTGCTTCTTGGTGCCCTTGATGGATTGAGTGCTCGGGGAGGACAGGGACCAGGCCTGTGAATCCCCAGGGACTTGGATAGACCCTGGCACATTTTCGGCACTTAATTAGTGTTTGTTTAAATGACTGATGGGGAAATTAAGAAATTAAGCCCAGATGGCAAAGTTGGCTTCCTATGGCTTGCGAAAGGATTTTTCAAACTATCTTCTCAATTATCTTCCATGAGAGCACTAAAATATATTTTAAACAACAAAACACTGAAGTCATGTTGAACCCCTATTAGCATCTCCTGGAACCTTACTCCCCGCACTCCCACCATCCCCGCTCCCCGCCCCCCGCCCGCCCCCCCCCGCCCCCCCCCCCGCAGCAGCAAGCGGAAGCAGATGTTCAGCCAAGCCAGGCAGGGGCATCTCTGTGTAACCACTCAGACACCCCACGAGCTGGCTGGCCGAGGCTCGGCGATTCCTGCCCTGCCTGCTTCTTCAAAGTGTGAGGATTCGAGAGATGATGAGTGAGAAGCAATATCAAAACTACGAGGGGTTGTATGAATAAGAGAAAGGACTTCATTTTGCTGCAGCAACACGCTTATATTTGACCATTTCATTCAGCCAGGCTGACCAAATGCCTGATACACTCGTGGAACACACGTCATCCATGGAAGCTCACGCTGCCAGTACTTGAGAAGCGAGCAAGGCCTTTCCGTCTCAGGACCACGAGCTCTCGTAGGAGCTCGCTACGCCCGTGAAAGCGTTGCCACTTTATGAGATAGTCTCTAAGATGGTGTTGCTGAACCTTCTCGGTGCTCAGTAGTAGAGCCTCAGGAACTCGGCTGGTTTGGGCTGAGCCGGTCTGGGGTGTGGGAGGGGCCCACGCACAGGACCCAAAGGCTCTTCAGTGGGGCAGCCGACCCTTGGAGGGGAGCCAGGCCTGGACGTGTTTCTCTTGTGCTGAAGAGGGGAGGAGACCCTTTGTGATATTTGCATTGGGAACGCAAACAAAATTCCTGCGTGAACACAGCAAAACTCCCCACTGACCTGATTTCTTAAGGACTGGTGTGTAAAATCGAGCAGCCGAAGCACTCTATAAAAGTAAATGTGTCCTTGCTCATTGCCACCTTGTGGCAGCTCAGCACTACAGCACCAGCCGCAGCAAGCTGCCCCCACCTCTGGGGCACTGGGGATGTTTGCAGGCTCTCCCCTCCTTGGGAACAGCCCCTGAGTTTCCTTCGCCTCAGCTTCCCGCTGGAGGACTGACGGGCCTGTCTCGCCGAGTACCGGGGTGACCGGGGAGCTGGCCAGCCAGCCGGGCGTCTCTCCGGCCGCCACTTTTCCTTCCACTCCACCCCATCCCCTTCGCTTATAGAACCTTGTAAGATTCCGTGCAGCCCTGAAATGTTTTGGTTTTCCCAAAGGTGACCTGGGCTTCCCAGGTAATATATTAAAAGATAGGCTTCATTTTGTATTGTTTGTTTTGCAAATCAAAATGACACACCTCTGGCCCCTCCCAGGTGGGCCCCAGCGCTCTGTGGGGACGGCTCCCTGAGGGGCTTCTGCACCGCGAGATAAGGTGGCTGGGTGCCAGAGGGCCCCTGGATCTTCAAACTCGGCTTAATTACATTCCAGCCAACAGGCTCCATCTGCAGCCACGGGGCTCTTGGAAGATAAGACACAAGACACATCCAGAGATGAAGGGCAGCGCTTGTGAATGCGGTGAAGTAAATCAGGGGCAGCACAGCCCATTTGCAAATGCAAATCCTTGTGACCGCAGCCCTGCCCCCTCGGAAGGAGCCAGGGAGCCCCGCCCTGGGGTGGGAGCCCCCGCCCCACGCCTCTGATGGAGTCCGATTATGGCAGGAGCCGGGATGGGAGGAGAAGGCGAGACGCCCCCACTGGAGGAGAGCGTGGAGGGCAGGATCTTTCTGGCTAATTTTGCAGCAATTTCTCCCCCACCTCCCAATTCTGCATGTCGAATATGCATTCCCAGGCTTCAACTCTCCTTCGTTGCTAATATATATAAAATATTTTAAAATATATAAATATATATTATATACAATATATAAAATATATAAATAAAATATAAAATATATATAAACATGTAAGCACAGCCTCCACCCAAGAAATCATACTTTCCTCAACTTAGGGAGAGGTAAACTGAAAGCTGTGCAGCTGAAGCGATGTCGTCACCGCCACCCTATCGCTCACGGCAGAACGTCATTTTCCTCTGCGAAGGTACCTGGATCTGAACAGCAGAGCCCCTGACAGGTGTCGCGGTGCGCAGTACGGACACAGAGTAACTCTCACAGTTGGAATTGCAGAGGTTTTTGGTGAAAACCTCTATAGACAATACAGTAACTCTTTGAATAACATCGTTTTGTCAAAATATTGATGGGGAAAAAATCGATTCCCAGCCAGGTCCACAGGCCGTGTGGAGGCGGCGCGCTCTTCCCATTCCCTGTCGGTTTCCTTTGCGGGACTCCGCTTTCCTCCCATGTCCCCAGGGCGTGCACATGAGGGGAACTGACGTGTCTAAGTTGTTCCCATCAGGGTGAGGGAGGGGTGCATGTGCGTGTGTCCTGCGACAGAAGGGCTCCAGCCCCCGCAACCCTGAATCAGGACAGGCGGGTTGGAAGGTAATTATATTACTTGTTTTTATTCATCTTTCTTAAATGTATGTTTGGCTGACATTTCTCTTGATTGTTGATATTAGAGGTATTTTGAGTCTTTATTTAGGGGATGTTTTTGTGACCAGAAATATGCTGTAGGAATTTAACTCTAGTGTATATCAATTAGCCTATGGGAAAGTGCTTTCCTTATAGATCATTTTATTTAAAGGCGCAGTTTCCAAGAACCTAGTGGCAATGCTAAGGGAGGACTTACTCTACACCCCTGGAGGGAAATGATGTCAAATCCACTGGTACAGTGAGCCTTGCCCTGTGGTTTCTTTGGAGTCGCCTGCCTTCTTCCTCTCTCGTCTCCAAAATAAACTAAATTCATGATTTTAATTCAAATAAATTACACTTGGTCTAAAGAATTTCCCGACCCTCTATACGATCGTTGTCAGGGGAGGGAAGCAGAGAATTTTCCCTCTCAAAAGTCCTCAAATGTTTTACGGTGTGAAGCTTCCAGTTACAATGTATCGTCTGTCCCCCTTCTTTGGCGATGCCTATTAAAATACCTGATTCAGTTCTTCAAAAATCTGGGCTGATGGCTTAATTCTGAGCATCGGCGCTTGTTCGGCAGCTGAGCCTCCTCTCCCAGCCCCTGGGAGCCTGGTCCAGGCACAGCTGCAGCCGCACTCTGTCCTCGGTCTCTCTGCCTCCTAAACCTCCTCCAAGTTCACAGTCGAGCGAGGGGTGAGCACAGCCCCCGTGCACTCTGCCATAAACCTCTGCAGCAGCACCTCCCTTAATGGGTGGAATTTAAACATTCAGCGCAGGATCAACCAGGTCTTCGGGTGCCTCTTTGGAGAGAAAATCAGCCTCCATCACGACCGCCGAAACAGCCAAGAGGACACGTTCTCAGCACCAGGCGCCGAGCCCGGCGGGCCCTCGGCAGCACTGGGGGCCAGGCCAGCGCTTGCTCCCAGTCTTTCAAACAGAAACAGCAGCATGTAATGAAATGAACTCCAAAGCCCTGCTGTGCCCTGGAATGAAAATCCACTTCCTGTTCTATTTTCCATCTCAAGTTTTCCAAGTTAAAGCATAAAGGAATTAAAGACCTGGTTTTGCAGGTTCAAAGGTCACCTTCCCTGATGGTTTGTTCTGCTCTGTCCGTGCTGCATGCAGTTCACCCTGACACCTGGGAGAACCGGGTCCTCGGTGGACGCAGCCTGGCTCTCTGGGAGGTCGTGAGGTTCCTCTAGGACCTGGACATTTGGAGCGGTTCTTCACCGAAGATCTAACACGCCCCACTTTGAAGCAAGAGCTCAAGAAGCTGTATGTGTACAACAGCACTAGCTTTATACCTACTGCCTTGATTTGGGTTGCACTGAAAACAGACCCTGAGTGAAGGGTTTGGAGGCCAGCAGTTGATCAGGGGGTGTGAAGGATCAAATCAAATGTTGAAGTCCTAACCCCCAGCCCCTCAGAATATGACCTTATTTGGTAATAGTGTCATTACAGATTATCAAGTTAAAATGAGGTTGTAAGGGTGGCACTAACCCTATATGACTGGTGTCCTCTCAAAAGGGGAAATTTGGGACATGTGCCCTTCCACTGGAAAAGCACTGCGCAGGTTCCCACGCGGAAGTACTTTCCCGTGCCTCCGAAGCCGGTGCCCCTGGGTCGCCTCTGGGGACCCAGGACTCTCCCAGGCCTCCTTCTAGACACGGTGTCTCCGCTACATTTCAGGACCTCAGACATTTAGATTCTTTTTCTTTCCGTTACCACGTTTTCTGCATGAGAAGAATGTACACCCATTCTTCTCATGTACTGTACATCCATGATCCACCACAATGTTGGTGACAGCATGCATTCTGAGTGACAGAAATCCAACTCACATGGGCCTAAACCGAAGGGGGTGGATCTGCCGCCGTAACTGAAGCGTTAAAGGCGTGATGGCTGCAGGAGGAGCTGGATGGGTTCTGTGACTGTGCCCTGAGGACCGAGTCCCTCCCCTCATCTCTGATCTCTTCTGGGCTGGCTTTGTTATGCCTAAGCTGCCCTGTAAGAAGCCTGAAGGGCTGCTGGCAGCCCTGGACCCATCTCTTTGCGTCTTGGCCCTATTCACCTCTACTCCTTCTCTAGTTTGTGCGCCTTTTCCCAGAAACTGAAATTTTTTGCAAAACAGATCACCAGTCTATAGGAATCTTCCCCCATCACCCTCAGAAATGCCGATGATATTCTTGCACTAGCTCCTCGTTCAG